CTGCCATAATGGAATTCCATTTTCTCTCCTTCTTCTAACACAGTGCTCCTTACTGTGTCCTCAACCAACCCTATAAGATAAATTTGCAGCTCTGAACAAGAATATCATTTTCTTTTTATGTCAACAATTTCTATTGATAACATCATATTTTATGCATTCATTTCCTAGATTGCTGTCTGCGGCCTGGAGTACTATATTTAAACCCCACGTGACATACAGAAGAAAAATTAAATTTGGCTTTTAAGGTTTAGAGAAATTATTTTCTAACAGACCTGAACTTCTATTTTCACATTTTCCTTTAAATTCATTTAAACATGGAGAATTTCAAATTCAATAAAGTTATATCCTTTTCTCTCTCATTTTTTTGAGTCAAAATTGCCATGCTCATATATAACACATATAAAGACTGGCAATTCTGAAAAGTAAAGGAGTATATCTCCATTTAAAGTTGTATAAATTAAAAATAGAAAGGAAGAGATATCAACTTGAGATTAATCCAACGAATTTAGTTCCCATAAACGCTAAGTCGCATATCCAGGATTTGATGATAAATCATTAGAGTTTGCCAGTTGTATAAGATCGGTAGTAGGCCATCTGGCTTATTCCGTTTACATCAGTGTAACGAGTGTTATTCCAAGCTTTTGATATTTCCACAGCTCACAAGCAACGAGGCTACTGGCAGAGGCCGCATCATAACCTAATTTTGGGGGGAGATTTTATTTGATTTTTGTTTGTTTTCCATACAAACGGAAGTCTGAAAGCCACTGCAAAAAAAAAAAAAAAAGAATAATTTCACTGATTTGGAAAGACTGAGGTCTCCAAATTTAAGTACAGAAATTTGCTATATTCATCTATTTACCCCATTCTATCTTTGTCTTCTCCTCCCTCCACCCATTTCAAGGAGGAAAAAGATCAAGACAACAGTTATCCGCACAAAATTCTCCTCCTCCTGACTTACTGTCCTTTTTTTTTCAAATTTGTTACAGCAGAAAGTATCTTTAAGGAGACTTTGCCCTTCCCCGAACTGACTAGAAAGAAGGAACTGTTTGAACCAGCTCCCGTGGGAAGAGAAGCATCATTATTGACTCCCTTTACCCTTCCTCCTTCACACTACTCTTTCTGGCTGTCCCGATTCACCCCATTCCATGCATCTCCTAATCCCAGAACGTCTAAAGCCAGCTGGGGCTGCAGCTGTTGGCTGGTCTTTCCCTTGAAATAATGGGGCTTAAGCAGTAAAGCAGATGCATTTTTAAAAGTTGAAATTAAAAAAATGAAACCATGTACATCACCTTCAAAATACTTTATAAATCTCTTCTCTCTCTCATCCCCCCTCTTTCTCTCAAATACGCAGGAAGCTTCCTGAAAGCAATGATTTGCTCTAGAACGATGGTTCTCGAACTTTAGCCTGCATGAGAATCACCTGGACGATTTGCTAACACACAGATTGCTGGGTCCCACACCCAGAAGCTTTCATTCAGCAGGTCTGGGATGAGACCTGAGAATGTGCATTTGTAGCAAGTTTCCAGGTGATGCTGAAGCTGCAGGTCCACGGACCACACATTAAGAACTACTAGCCCAGACAAAGAACAATTACTAAAAAATGAAAGAAAGATCAGGAATTTAAGATTCCAGTTCACATCACCTCCCATTGTATGGCTCTGGGGGTTCTGGGGGGTCAGGTTCCCTTGTCTGTGGAAACAGATGGGGGAGACAGATAAAGGACGGTGGAGTGAAGAGCAGCCCAGCTGCTTGAATCATCTCCCTTCTCCGCTGGCCCCTCGAGATACTCAGAGGAAAAGTATCAAGAAAAGGAAAGTGAAATTATGGAAATAAAGACGGTCATTTTTAGCCAATCAGCACTTTAGATTCCCACTTGCGTCTTGGCTGTCTGTCCATTTTCTCTCTTAAACGGCTCACGGTGCGATGCAATGGGGACCTGAATCACACAGATTTGGGTTCAAGTCTTGCCTCACTTCCTGTGTGTCCATCAGCAAGTCCGCAAACCTCTTTGCCCTCATTTCTCCCATATCAAAAATGGGAATAGCAATGGAACCTACCTATAATATTGCTATTTGCATACAATTTCGTTCTGCATGTGCACTGACTGGTACATGCACAACAAGTGTTAGCTTGTACTGTGAATGGTCATATCTCTTGGCTTTCCTGTGAGAATATTCAATATGTTAAATAGCACACCAGCTATTTGATACAATTGGTTCAGTCATTACTTCAACAATATTTATCGAGCAGCTACTGTGTGTCAGATCTATAATATTATACAAGTATATGAAAACAATATCCTGTCAAGAAAAATGTTTGCTATAAATATTATTTTGATTTGGGAAGTTTCAACTTTATATGAACTTACATTTAAGAAAAATACTTCCCTCCAAAATTGGCTAACTAGGGAAACTGAGAGGATGTGCTTACTAACCACACATTTTGTTTTGACAGACACCAAAAAATAGAATAGAGGGAACAAGGGGAAACCAATTCTGCACATACCTTGGCCTTAAATTATTAAGGGTGTATTTTAGACCCTCCTGGAGACCACAAGCCCACTTTTCCTGAACATCATTATATTTATGTAACAAAACAACAGGGAACAAATTTGGCCAAGGGCATCCTATTTTCAGTTCACATGATGTCATTTTTTTAACCCATCATGTTGGTCAGAAACTCAATGATGAATTACGCTCAGGAGCCATGTTCAGTCCTTCCGCTCTTCTCCATTCCTTGAGCAAAGGCTGTGAATTCACTCTTCTGCCAAGTAGAACATAGCAGCCCTCGTTTTTTGAAATAGATACTGAAAGCACTACATTCTGTATACCACGTGTATTTGACTGAATTTCCAAAAGATTAACATGATAGATGTGGGAGTTTCTTGATTTTATCCTCAGTAGTGCCTTTGCTCTCTCCTCCTCCCAGGTTTTCAGGTCCCCAAGAAGGGAATCGGGACCACAATGTTTTAAGAGCTGAGTGGAGGCTCAGAGACAATCTAGTCCAGCCTCTAATTTTACCCATGAAAAAGCTGAGAACCATGAAGTTTGGGTGCCCTACGAAGCCAAGTGCTCTTGGAGACACTGAATTTCATGTCTTCATTCCCATTGGCTGTATTTTCCCTACACCACTGGCCTCCATTTTTGCTTAAAAGGAGCTTCAACAAAGAATTCACTATCAGATATTACGGAGAAAGACCGCTGAGCTTCCACACCACTTACCTCCCTATGCCAGTTAACAGGAATTGGTGGTGGTGGTAAAAATAGGCACCTTTGTGGCAGGAGCAGGTGTCTGAGAGCCTATGAAGCTATGAGACTCCAAAATACAGAACTCAGGGAAAGAAGAGATTTGACTCCCTAATAAAAGTGCATATTACCCCAAATCCTCTAAGAAGCCAGATGCCAAGGACTGTACTTTGCAAATCTACTTGGGCAATATTTTCCTTTAATTTTCCCTAAAGCATCTTACAAAACCAGAGTTCCCAAAGTTTCTACTGAAACAGAACTGTCACTTTTAACCTCTGAGCTTCTCTCCATGGAAAAAGCATTATTTTATCTGCTTTCACATTTCAAAAGGCTCTAACACATTTGTCGCTTTGCTGAAGTGGTTTTTTTCTTCGAAAACGGTCTGCTCTCCAGACCTGTGGCTTCTGCGACAGAAGGGACTTTCGTGGGTGAGCCTGGCAGCCTCCAGCCGGCCGGAGGCATTTAGTAGTCTATTCTGGTTTCCGCGCTTCAAGGCTCCCTTCGCGCGCCCGCTCCGGTCCTGCAGATGCAGGATGTCTGCTGGGCGGCTCAGGTTTATCACCTCGGACGTTTGAAAGAAGCTGGAGCGATCCCAACCTCTCCCGGTGCCCCTGCAAGACCTATTCTGCCCACAGACTGGCGAGAGAGCTGCATCCTCCCTTAGCCAGGGCGCGCGAGCCAGCATCGCACCGGGGACCTGGGCGCGCGCTCCCGGGCCCTGGCACCGCTCGCTCCTCGAGCCGGGACCAAGGAGCTGCGGGTCACGCCCTCTCTCCGGGACCGCTCTTTTCTCTCTCCGCACATCCTCTTCCTTACCTCTACTAAAAACAGGGGGCCTCGCTCCAAATAAACCAAGAACACCACCCCCAAAAAGTTCTGACTTGAAACACACACAGCGCAGAGAATCGTTGGGGCTGGCCAGGCTGACCTGCGCCCTCGGAGAGCCGCAGACCCCGGGGGCAGCCTGCTCCCCGCGTTCCACTGGGTGCAGGCGGCGGGGTGTGCAGGGGCTGCCAGAGGACAAGCCAGCTCAGGGACAGCGCGCAGCCTGAAAAGTACCCCTGCGCCGCCCAGGCCGGCGGGCAGGAGGGGTCTTGCGGGGCAGAATTGGCAGAACCTTCCGTGGAGAGAAGCTAACATCCCCCCCGCCCCCTCGTGCACGACACGGAGTGCTGGACAGGACAGGACTATGGTCACTAACAATGCCCTGGAGGGGGCTGTCCCTTCCCCTCGCCTCGCCGCGCACTGCCAGGCCTGAATAGACGCAGTTGTACACACGCACAAACACACACGCCTGCACTCCGCCCCCGATGGGGTGGAGGAGGCGGGGAAGGTATGCAGTGCTCCGCCCCGGGGTACCTGCCCGGCTCGGCAACCCAGCGGCGCCCCCGCCTCGGTGCGGACAGACGGACGCGCGGGAGGAAGCAGGCTCTCCCGGCCGCAGCCCCGATGCTCCGGGGCGTCCCACCTGGGGAGGCTCGGGGCGGCGGCGCGCGGTGGGAGCACCAGAAGTCCCCGGCGCGTCCCCTCTCCCCCCGCACAACTTCGCGCGGCCGGCGCCGCCCTCGCGCCTGCCTCCCTTCCTTACCCAAATACTGCCGCAGGTCGAGCAGGAAGCGAGGGGGTCCCCCGCTGAGCTGATAGAAGAGCGAGCCCAGGCAGAAGACCAGCAGGGTGGCCATGCAGAAACCGTAGTCCCGGAGGGAGAAGCGCAGGAAAGGCAGCAGGGAGACCCGGCGCTTCCAGCTGCCCAGGCCGGCAGGGGCGCCCCCCAGAGGGGCCCCATGGGGCCAGGGATCCGCGCCGCCGCCGGGATGCTGCTGCTTCTTCTTCATCGCCTGCTCCGCCGCCTCGCACAGCCTGCCCGTGCCAGGAAAAGGTCACCCATCCGCCTGCGAGGAGGAGAGCCGGGCCGGCCGGCGGCACATGGGCAGGGCCGCGCGGAGGGCAGCCGGGTGGGGGCGGGGAGGGGCCGAAGTTGCCGGGCTCAGGAGACTTTCCTCGGCATGGTCCCCGCCGCCGCGGCCCGAGCGGCCGAGGTGCCCGGCCCCGGCTCGGGGGCGCTGCCCGCGCCCGGCCCGCGCCCGCTAGCGCCCCCGCGCCCCGCGCCCCGCCGCGCCTCGGGCTCGCTCGCGGCCGCCGGGGCTCGCCTCCAGCGCCAGCGTGGACCCCCCGGCTTTGTGTCTGTCGGTCTCGGCGTGTTTTGTCCCGGTTCAGGCTCCTCTAAAAAACGGCAGGGAGGAACAGGAGGCGGACACCATCCCCTCGCTCCACCTCCTTGACAGGGGTTTTCCTCCTTCTCCTCTCTCCTCCCTCCCGCTCTCCGCCGGGTCTCCGGGTTTCTCTCGGGTGTCACGTTACTGCCTCTGCCCGGGGAGGGGGGAGTGCGGGGAGAGGGGCGGCGATTATTCGCAACAAGGAAGAAAGTTTCTGGGTGTTTTTTTCCTTCCCCCTTTCTCTCCAGTCTGGCCTCCGTTCCTGCGCCACCAGCGACCTCTTGGGGGCCCCGCAGACTTCCCTCTCGTAAACAGTCACCGGCAGGAAGGAGCACGACTTCTTTTACTCTATTTTTTTTTGCATTTCAGAAACTTGATTCTCCTTCTCTATCCCAAGCTGCTTCCAAAAGGCCGATAAAAGGTACTTGGATATAGGTTTCAAGAGTTTGCTGAGATGGTCTAAGAGCAAGCGGTGTACGTGATAATTAAACCAACCGCTCCTCGCCCCGTCTCCCTGGAAGAGAAACAGAAGAGGATGCTTTCTTCTTGCTGGCCCTGGCCGTCCAGCTACGCATCCACGTAGCGACCGGAGAGGCAGGGGGTGGGAGAGGTCCAGAGCGGACTCAAGGAGGTCATTCTGCTAGCAGAAATGAAGGGGAAAGAGCCCTTTCATACCCATTTCATCCCTGCCTCCCTTCTTTCCAAGAGAATCTTCTGGACCTAAAAGAGGACCTCCGGGCAGAAAGGCTGCATCGAACAGATCCGCTGGCGGGATGGGTGATGCGCGAAAGAGCTGCTCGCACCAGCACACTCTCAGGAAGAATAATTCATTGGTGTATACACAGGCTGTACCACCTGAGGCTCAAGTGACTTGCCCAAGGTCACGGAGCTACCAGGAGTCGGGTTAGGAGCCACTCAAATCTCTTTGACCCTGAAGCCCACTATACAAACCACTGCACGGTATTATCACCCAGCCCGGGCCCTTTCCCTCATAATTTTCATGAAGATTGGAGAATGAGTTATAACTTATTTTTAGCCCAGGCCACCTTGAGGAAGGAAACCTCAATTTCTGGTGCCTCTCGTCTCTGGCTCCCTACTTGCTCTGTACGTTCTGGTAGCTGACAACAGGATGAAAGGAAGAATGGGGAGTCAGCTACAGCTATGTTTCTGTGACTGTACTCCTGAAAACCTTCATAAAGTTGGGTGTCTGAAGAATTTTCTACGGAAAACTAGGAAATAGGTTCCTGAGATTAAGAACTTACAATGTAAGAATAATATGGTTTAGCTAAAATCCATGCATGAGCATCTCTGGTTTCTGATTTGAAACCAATGAAGAAGACACATCGATCCTAAGCTGGGGAGAATTATAGATGGGGTGGGTGGTGTCACACATCCACACACACACACTCACACGTGCATGCTCACAAATTCTACTTCCCAATTTTATGTTGCCCTAGCCTGCCTTCTCTGGTAGAGGAAGGCTGCTTCCCAAGAGAAGAAAAGTCCCTTTGTTCTGCCCCAGAAAATCCTAAATAGAGTGTTAATGGTTTGTTTCACATTTATTGCGTGGATCTGAAATTTGTTGGATTAATATGCACATTTTAGAAATATGAATGCTCCTGAGAGAATTAAGCCCATCCGTCACTGCCCATTAATGTGAATTACTTTAATCAGCACTGAGTAGCCCGGAATAGGCTCCCAATTAATAATTTTTGAGTTAATGAAGAGCGGCTAGGAGAGGGCGGAGCAAAGCAATTTTCCTAATGTTTCCGAGACCACCTTTGACAAATGGGACGTGTACTGGAGGCTTGGCCCTGTGAGCGGAATGTTTTTCGTTAGATGTAACGTAGTGTGGGAGATCCTGTCTGTGCTCACAAGGCCTGCCTGGGATCTAGAGACTTCTCTCTCAGAATGCATTGGTTAACCTCCCAGTTCTTTCTCCTAAGGAAAGGAATCTAAGCAGGAATGAGGTTATAACAGGGAGATGGAGCAGGAAGAAAGAAAATAAACATTTGAAAAAATAAGTAAATATGGGAATGAGTTTTTTAAAAAAAAGCAGTGCAAAAGTTATGAGGAAAGTACAAGGGGGCAAGGTCCAGCTTAGAAGAAACAAACTTTGACATGAAAAATTTTAGAGGGAGTTTTCAAAAGAGTACATTAGTGGAGGAGCTGCCTTAAAAAACTCACAGAAGGAAAATAAAAAATAAGATACAAAGAAGTTTCACATTTTAAAAAAATGCTTTGTGTTTTCACCCAACAAAACTTAGATGTTTGGGTACAACTTTGTTCTCTGAAGTCCTGTAAATGTCTCATCAAAAAAAAAAACTTTTTGAGGCTGGCCCTGTGGCCTAGTGGTTAAGTTCAGCATGCTCCACTTTAGTGGCCCCGGGTTGCAGGTTCAGATCCTGGGTGTGGACCTACTCCACTCGTCAAGCCATACTGTGGCAGCAACCCATATATAAAGTAAAGAAAGATTGGCACAGATGTTAGCTTAGGGCGAATCTTCCTCAGCAAAAAAAAAAAAAAAAAAAAAAAAAGACTTCTTAGTTTAAAGAATTTACACTGATGAATGGTATCTTTATTCAACCAGTTAGTGAATCTACTAATTATGAGAATTTGTGAACAAATTTTATTATTAGTCTTATAATTTAGTATACTTTGTTTAAAACCTTGCCCTCTATTCAATATCTTGAGCTTCTTCATTCTTTCTGTCTCCCGTGACTTTTCCTCTCTCTCATCTGAGCCACTCATTTTCAACAATCCCACCCTTGGATCATCATCACTTCTGCTTCACTTCTCAAGTGTCCATACTCTAGCAATGTTTCCGTCTTTTCAAGAGCCCTCAACTTCTTAATCCATCAGCCATCTCGTGTGTTTACCTCCTCCTTTATCCAGTTTGGGTTCCTGATCCATTGTTCTGATCCCCGTCTCGCAGACACACTTTCATTCCCTTGTTCTTTTTGTTTTAGGTGGTACAGTACTTGACTGGCAAAACCCAACTAGACCCAACAGTGCCACTGGGCTGGATTGCAGAAAGACACACAGCATTGCTAACAGCTTCATTTTGAGATAGCACAAATTTCAAAGGGATGCTCACTCGTTGCTGCCCAGCAACCCCACCCTCTAAAATGCCTATTTCACACTTCTCTTTCTCTTCTTCTCCCATCTCCACCCTCTACTTTCATCCCTTCAGTCTCAGCTGATGACCTGGTCTCATACTTTATTGAGAAAATGGAAGCAATAGGACAGACGCTCCCTCATTTCCCCACCAGTCTATGCCCCACGCTCTCTGCCTTCCCTCCTGTTTCATTTTGACTCTCCTCGCTTCTAGCAAGGCCAGCCTGACGCTGCCCTCGCCTCTTGGTTCCACCCAAACCCGACCTCACAGCCACGCATGCTCTCTGCCTCGCCTTCTGCATCTCTGTAAATAATGGCATTATCAAGTCACTTGGGTGCAAACCCAGAACTTTTCCCTGGTATTTCTCCTTCCTTCACTCCTGTGTCTAAACCATCTGCAAATCCTATAGGCTCTCCCTTCAAAGAACTATCCGGAATCTGACTTCCTTTGCTGCCACTCTGGTCCAAGATGCCATCTTGTCTCATCTGGATTATTGCAATGGCCTCCTATATCAGCTATGGTTAGGTTTAGCTGTGTAAAACTGAAAAACGCAAAGTAACAAGAGCTTAAACAAAATAGAAGAGTATTTCTCTCTTACGGAAAACGAGTCCAGAAATAGGCGGTGCAGAGCTGGTGAGGCATCTCCATGCTCTCATCAGGGACCTATCAAAGCTTTCTGTTCCACCATCCTCAGCATGTAGCTTCATTTCAAAGGTAACCTTATGATTCAAGAGGGCCACTGGAGCTCCAGCCATTACATTTGTGTTCCAGGCTGGCAAAAAGAGGAAGCAAAAGAGGGGAAAAAACTCCGTCCCAATGGAGTTGGCTCTTTTTAAGCAGAGTTCCAAAAGTGCTACTTACAGTTTCTTGACCAGAACGTAGTCAAAGGGCTACAGCAAATTGCAAGGGAGGGCTAAGAAATGAAGATTCAGCTGGGCACACTGCTGCCACCAAAAAAATCAGGGTTCTGTTACTAAGGTAAGAAAGGACGAGTGGCTATGAATGACCATCAGCAAGCACTACTGTTCCTCCTCGCGCCCAGGCCTTTGCTCTATATTCCATCATCTTCACAGAGCAGGAATAATTCCTCTGCTCAAAACTTACCAAGGGTTCCCAACACACTCAGAGTAAAAGCCACAGCCTTCTAGTGCTTTCCACGGCTCTGTGCCATGTGGCCCCACTGTCAAGATGACCTCATCCCCTATCACTTTTCTCTACTCATCCTGCCCCATTGTTGTTCATCAGACAAAAAACATTTGCTCTTCTATCTGGGCTTTTGCATTTGTGGTGTCCTCGGCCTAGAAAGTTCTTTTCCCAGATCTCCGCATGGCTTGCCCTCTGACTTCCTTCCAGTGTCTGCCCAATGTTGCCTTATCAAAGGAGCCTTCCCTGGCTAGCCCATACCTAATGCACACACACACCTACATTCTTTATTCCCTTGACCTTCTTTAATTTTCTCCACAGAACTTACCATAATCAGGAATGTTCGCATTTTTTCTTTGTTGTGTATCTCTCCTCACTAGAAGACAAACATCAGGAGGGCTGTGATCTTGTCTCATTCTTTCATTGCTCTTTCCTCAGCACATAGAAGAGTGCTGACAGGTGATGGTCAGTCAATAAATATGTGTCAAAGGAAAAGGTTAGTTTTCATATGAAGGGTCTGAAGCATCGTGAGCCCAATCCCATTATTCCATGGCTGGCCGAGTGGAGATAAGAGGTGGGGGGAATGGAGAACACATCTGCATCCTGCTAGAACATTCGAATGATCATCAAAGAAATTATTTGAGATTAAAAATATAGAAAGAAAGAAAGAAGCCCTCACCACCCCAAAACCCCTAGTCTAATTAGCAGTTCCGCTGTTCCCTGTGATATGTATGCCTCATGGGATCATGAAAGGAACACGAATCCGCGGGTTTTGCCTGGTGTTACCACTCGCCTTGGCAAAGTGCCGCTATCTTCAGGACTGCTGCTCATTCCAAGGCCTGGGGCATTCCCTCTCTTGGAAAGCCCAGCTCTCCGAGCTTTGGCAGTGGGAGACCACCAGGGTCAGTTCAGACCCTCTTCTTTTACTGTTCCGCTGGAAGCAGGACTATTTCGGGAAGTTTTTGAGTTAGAGTGCCCGTATTGCAATAATGGCTAATACAAGCCGGCCCGATCTGTTTCTCTGCCTGGGAATTGAGCGGTCAAATGGCAGAATAAGATTTTAATAACAAGTTTAAAACATCAGTGGTTTCCAGTCTGGTGGGTCCTTGGTCTACTGAGTCTATGAGAACCTGGTCTTAGGCGCTCTGTACGCTGCTCAGTGTGCCCCCATCCTTCTCCACGTGGCGACACACGCATAAAGAATAAGAGGTGCTCTCCACCCATGCATCCTCATTACTCTTCTCCCTCTCGAGGAGACATACACAAGCATATAGACAAGCAAGCAAACAAACAAAGAAAACAAGCATTAAACAAAAAGATGTTGTAAAACTCAAATGCTTTGTAATTAATGATAAAACTATGTTAGTGTATTACTCTGTTCCTAGCATGTTCTAATCACTTTACATGACTTCAGTCATTCTATTCTCACAACAACCTCATGCTGTGGGTACTATTATTTTCCCCATTTTACAAATGAGGAAACAGACAATAAGAATAATAGATATCAGCTACTGGAGACCTGGTCTTGGAAGGCTTCCTGGAAGAGGTAGTATGTGAGTTGGATTGTAGAATGAGTAGAACTGAGAGCTGGGCAGTAGCCCAGAGGTCATTCCAAGTAATGAGCACTGGCTGAGAAGGACGGCGAAGATGTGTTTGGGAGCCAGTGGCAAGTCTGCCTGGAGAAGGAAGATGCAGATCTGTGGCGCTGTCTCATTGCTAAGAATGGGGGGCCCTAAGCATGGGAGCCAACTGGAGTTTTGTCCAAAGTTTCTTTAGAGATTCTCCCCAGAGGCCCCTTAGCTCTTAGGCGAGCGTTTAGCAGAAATTCTTGATTCTATTTTAATTAAATGGATGCTGCAAAGAAAACAATATCAGTATAGGGAGCGCACAAAAGACAGACGTGGCTTAGATTTTTGCAGAAAGAAACCACTTATCGAAAAAGATACTGTTAAGCGCAGATACTGTCTCATGGTTTTTACATAACACAGTGCAACCTGGTGCTCTCTTCCAACTCTGAGAAAACGCAGAGCTCACAACAGATATTTTTCTTCCAACAGTGAATTTTCTTTGAAAGTGGTTGTTTAGTCTACATAAAAAAACCTAAAAAAACAGCTTTGTTTACAATTAAAGAAAAACCTTAATATGTCCAAGTATTAAATGTCTTACCTTAATAGATAAGAATTATACCACGTTAATAGCACAGATTGCTGTTTGAGCCATATTTTTAAATCTCTTGGCAGTACAAATTATTATACAAACTTCAGAGTAGATAGGTTGGCTGGTTTATTTTTAACTAG